ACGTTTATATGGAAGCTCCACTTTTCTAGTCGGGTGTTGTTGGGCTTTGTTATCATTTCACTTTGTATCCCCTGTTGTAATATCTTCATATTAAAACTGTTAAAACTCACTTTTTGTTCCCCCCAAGTGTCATTGATGGGTTTTTTTCTACATCTTCTAATCTCACTGAACTGTTTGAGGCTGTTTTTCTCTTCAGTCTAACACCAGCAGCAGCAACGTCAGGATTCCTTCACTCAACATGGCTCCACTTCCACACATGTTGGCGACGCTTCTTTTTGATACGTGAATCTGCTGAAGATGGATCCTGTTTGAACGGCTGACGCTTCAGCTGGTTTTCTGTTGCCCATGTTTTCTACCTGTAGCAGGATGTGGATTGTTTGTCCTCTCTCTCCCGCCCTGCTCCTCCTCTGATTGGTGGGCAGCACTGTGGAAACAGCATGTATTTATGCGCCGGCTTGACGCACCTGTGTCTGATTCCCCTCAGCGTCGTTACTGTGGCGTGGGTTGCTTAGCGCGCAGCTGCATCGGGGTTTTGCACCAGCTTGTTAGCAGCTGTGGGACGCTCTGCTGTGGAAACGGTAAGCGAGGTTTCCTCTCTCCACTGACCACCTGTGCATGCAGCTTGTTGATATGCATTGTGTCTGCAGCGTGTCGCAGTGTTGGTTGGTGGTACTGCTCGCCCTCCGCCTCGGACCGGCTTGTGGTGGTCGCCGTATCCGGAGGTAGGCCCGCTCCTTTGTGCTGCTGCTGCTCTTCTGTAAGTTAAGGTTGAGGGAAAACTTACTACTTTTAATTCCTGGCTTTCTGTGCAGCTGTAGAGTCACGGCTCCCACTTCCCCTCATTCTGACTGGCTGCCCGGAGCCACGGTGGACAGCCGGGTCACAGCTGCCACTGCTTTCAGAGCTGCTGTTTTTCACTGCTGCTGGACGCGCTGTTTTGGAAACGCTGTTGTGCAGTGCTGCTGATCTTCATTGTGCGGTTACACTGTTTTTAGCTGCTGTTCTTAAGCGCTTCTTAAGTGGGTTTATGCAATTCTGTTTCCATTGTCCCTTTGTTAAGTTCTGACTGGTTTCGTTTTGGTTCTGTTTGTTGTGCGCACTTTTTGTTTGTCTCCGCTGCTTGTGGCCACCAAGCGGAGCTGGTGCCCTGTTTTACTCCTGCGCCATTCTTTTTTTCTCACTGTTTAGTTGTTATAAGTTCAGTGTTTATGTTTTCATGAATTAAAGTTTGTTAATTTGTTATTCTTTCTTTTGCAGATTTAGTATTTTTGGTGTGATTTTATTAGATTGGTTATTGCTGGTTTGATTTAGTTTTGCATCTTTGTGTTGGACAGGAGCTGTGGGCCCCCGGAGTGTGGCAGCTGGATCCCCTGGTGGTGGTGTCGTGTCCCCCGCCCACCTTTTTTATTTAATTGTGTTAGAAATAAAATTGTAGTTTGGGAGACACGTCTCCAGCTCATGTGTGTCCCGTCAACCTAAACAAACTATTTCCTGAGGTGAAATTCTCCAGGTGGCCTTGTCTGCAACTTCAAAAAGTAAAATTCTACCACCTGGCCACATACCTGTTGTGTTCTACCCCCAGCATTGGTGACAAACCAACAGCTCCCCCTAGTGGCCACTTCACCAAACTACCAGCTCTACATACTACAGATATTTGACTACTTATATTTTAAAGTTGTCTACTTTCTCCTCTGTGTAAATGCTGCCTGCAGTTAAGACTTAAAGTACCTGAAGTTTGGTCATGTGACTACTGGTTGCAGCCGTACACAATATGACAAAGAAGCCCTGAAAAGCAAAGCCTCGTTTGGCCACAATAACACCTCCATACCAGCATCTGCAGGTCAGAGACGTGAAGCTACGGATCCACAGAGAGGACAAACACAGAGTTAGTGACATGTAAATAAGAGGAGAGGAGCCCAGTGCATCATGGGAATCCCCTGCTAGTCTAAAGCTACAGCAGCATCACTAAGGGACAGTTCAGGTGATCCTGAGCAGCTCTAACTATCAGCTTCATCAAAGAGGAACGTTTTAAGCCTAGCCTTAAAAGCAGAGAGGGTGTCTGCCTCCAGAACCCCGGGAGCTGATTCCACAACAGAGGAGCTGATAGCTGAAGGCTCTGCAGTTCACATGTATGTTTGTAAGGTGTTGTGTTGTATGTATGTACGCACATGTGGCAACATTCATGTAGGTTCGTGTATGTCTGCCTTCCTAATATTATTATATTTATGATTCCATACGTTTGTTTTTCTAGTTTTGCACCTGTTTCTATTCTGTCTTAGTATCAGGTATATTACACAACAGAGTAGAGTGATGTCATCACTGTTCTGAATCATCGTCTTTCACTTCCTGATAACTACCCACATACCTGGTCTTTGCTGATTGGTTCTCAGATTGTCACAAGTTTCAGACTTCCTCGTCTTTACCGTCAATCATTCCGAGAAGAGACTGAGGACAGGTAGTGGCCGGAGTGCAGCGCTCACAAGAGAGATAGATTTACAATAACTAGTTTATTTAAAGCCTCTGGATCATCTCTTGACCCACTTGTGTTTCTCACAGAGGCCGTTTGATCGTCACTCCACTTTTCACCGCTCGGTCCCACAAAGGAGAAATTACAAGTAAACCCCAGCT